AATACTGATTTTTAATGTATTTTATTTAAGCAAAAGACAAGAAAGAATGAAAATATGAGTGCATGAAGAATATGGTTAGTTGCTTTATTAGCCTATATTTTGATCTACATTAGACTGTATGATTTCAAAACCGGAAGCAAAAACAGAATGGTCTGACTTTAGCTTTGTGAAATTAGGCTACACAAAACATCCCAAACAACAGATGGGCTGAATAAAAATGCAAATTCACTCTCTGTCAGCAGGTGGCGCTTAAGGAACAGCAGTGATGCATTGTTTCCTTGATTACCGCTGTAAACACAATGCATTATACTGATGAAAGGAAAATGCCATCTAAACTGTTTCCTAAGACAGTCAGTTCCCCTCAGAGATACATTCATACTCCGCGCATTGTGAACAGTGAGCTTGCTCTGCCTGCTAATGTATTTGAAGAGTTCAGATGCAAAAGCCTCTAAGTGCATCTGAAATTTTCTTCTAAAATTAGCATTTTTATCAGGCTCCTGTGTTTAGGTTCAGTCATTTTACTTTAATGGCAATGTATAGGTCCTTTTCTATGCCATTAAAGTGAAATAACTGAACCTAAATATAGGAGCCTGATAAAAAATTCTAATTTTAGAAGAAAATTTCAGATGGCAATTAGGCTTTTGCATCTGAACTCTTCATTTTCTCCTCTTTGGGTTTACAGACTATGAAATAAAACAAAAAAATTATTATTATTATTATTATTATTATTATTCCGATTTATGGCCAATGGTCAATCGGTGCATCTCTGCTCAAATTCAAATATTAAACTGCTTTTATTTTGGTGGTTTCCCAGTGAAGCGCTGCGATATGACTATGGCATTAAGCTATATCATACGATATCGAATATATTTCGATAATATAGTGCACCCCTAATTAAAATAATATTATATATATATACAGGGTGCGATTTGTGAAAAAAGCAGAGAGGGGGATGATTTTGAAAACTTTTTTTTTCAGAGCAAGCTAGGCTTTAAAGTATAATGTTAGTGTAATCTGTTAACAAAGCACATCATAAACCCGTCTTTTTAAACAAGTAGCCTACCAGATCAAGTAAGCACAGAATCAACTTTGCACTGCTGCGCGGTGTTTCTCTTTTTTCACTGCAAAACAATCAAAAATATTCTATATATATATATATATATATATATATATATATAAACAAAAAAAAACTCATTTGGGCGCCCCTAGCATTTGCCTATTTCACCTATACGACGGGCCGGCCCTGGGTCTTAGGCACAGGCATATAACTTTTTTCCTGAATACAAATCAGGTTTTTGCTTGTATCATAATACAAGTAGGCCTTCTTGTATCCATACAGTGCGACTTACAAGGACTATTAGTGAGCCATATGGAGCCATTAAGGTGCTTTTTGTCCATTTTGAAGATGGATAGATGACAAACTGGCCTGAATGGCTTAAAAGGTCTGCCTTTTTATAGGTCCACATTTATTCGTTTAGCAGATGCTTTTAACCAAAGTGAGTTACAAATAAGGAGAAAGAAAATAAAGGCCTCTAGACGGCGCCATCTGTACTGCTTTTAAACACTCAGAAAGAAAGATAAACTATATTATAAATAGAATGTGGCCAGTCAAATTTGCATTTCAGACTCAAAACACCAATGCCAAAATGCAGAATGAATTATCTACTGTCCCCTTCATTTTTGGTTGCTGTTGTTATAAGTGTTTCGATTTTTGATATTTTGATATTAGGATTTTTTTTTAATTATTATTATGTTAATAGATAGTTATAATCATGGTTCTGTTTTGGGTTCCCATGGGAGACTTTCTCCTTTGAAAGCTGATATTCAAATTAGTTTTCTACAGAAGCATAGTTCCCTTGTTGCATCATCACTCCACCCCACTCTCTCTTTCAATAAGTAAAGGGGAAATAACCACCAATTGTTCATGCAAAGACGTTGTTGGGAGCTTTGATAACACACTTGAAGGAAGGACAGACGGGGAGGACTAAAAATGGGTAAGAACCTTTATCTATGCAATATTCCTGTTTGATACACTTTTTAAACCTATATAGCAGGCAAATTTGTGTTTTACTGAGACAGATGTGATGCTCTTTGAAAAGAACCGGGTGATGTGGGCATTTTATATTTGCTTTAATGCTGTTTTTCAAAATGACATGCATCTTTTGATTCCTCCACCCCTCTTGTTGGGTTTCTTTATCTCAACTTCTTCTGAATGGTTGATTTGATCAAGATTAAGCAGCATTAAGACGGGAGTTAAAAGCTTAGACTTTAATCCAACAGACATCTAAAAACCATCTCATCATCTGTACCTGTTGTTGTTCCTTAGTGTAAAACCCTATTTTAAGATGAAATGACAAACAAAATATTAAAAATAATCATGCATTAGTTTCTGAAACTTCAGTAATGTGCAGTGCGTGCCATGCAAGTCAGTAGTGGTTAAAAAGCTATGGTCATACAGGATGCAACATTTGGCAACTGTATTAATGCAAAAATGATTTGCTTAAATGCAAAACTGGCTGCAAGTAGTATTGCACTCAGAACAACAATAAAATATTGTTTATGAGTTACGGCCTTGCCTGTTCTATACTGGCTAGTGTTTTGAGGTCTTATGGTTAAT